AACATATGTACCGGGTAAACCTTATAAAGAGTACTCTCTCGATAGGAGCTATTGGCAGCCAAAACAACATTTATGGATTCTCAAATATAACAATGTCACACATAATGTTTGTCATTGAAGTCTAGCATGCATCTTTTCTCTTACACATTGAAACTAATCAAGTTTTCTTTCTCTTTTCTTTCTTCCACAAATCTAATGGAGAATGCTACCTCACTGACAAGATCACTTAATGCAGAAATCCCCAGACAACCAACCGCAGCATATACCATATACGATTTCTTTTCTTTCAGACGTCTACATGTTTCTAACACAAACCTGCAAATAAAGAACGAAAGATAAGTTCCTCCAAGAAAAGTTAGTACAATGTGAACCATGCCATATAGCTAGTAGACCCTTCAAAAGAGAAAAAAAAAAAGCTACTCACATGATTTCAAGCCTTTTTGGGACCGCAATAATAAGAGAACAATTTATAGAGAAGCATATGCATGAGCACAAAAATAACTTCTTACAAATTTCCATGAATTAACCAACTGTAAATGTAGAGAAATCAAATACGGCTGTGATAAATTAAAAAATTGTCTTGAGGATAAGTTAAACTTTGGACTTAGTTGATTGCTAAAATGCATATAAAATTCTTTCAAGTGTAAGAAGAAAATATATGAAGTTCTGTAGAATATTACCTGTTTATATCTGTAACAGGTGCTGAACCACTCCTCTTTTTCTTATTCTTCTTCTTATTTGCTCTACGCCTCCGATTTTTGCTTTGGGATCCTTGATTTCCTATACTGACATCATTGGCACCGCCTTTTCCAACTTCTGGTGATTTCTCTCCCACAATCTCTCCTTCTTCCACATCAAACATTTCAACATCTTCGACATCTTCAAAGTCATCTTCCTCGTAGATGGCTTGTATAATGCTCTCCCCTTCCTCCATTATATTACCTGGATATTATTAAAATAATTGATTGAGTAAATTAATAAAAAAATTAACACAATGTAAATTAAGGTACCTACTCGGCCAATAGAACAGGATTAATAAAACAATACTCAGAATGCAGACTCATATGCACATTCTTTAATACTATAACAAAACGAGGAATTTTTTACCAAGAACCAACCAAACAACTAACTGAATGAATACAAAAACAGAATATTTCCGATGGATTCAAAACCAACATACAGTGATTTAAAATCCGCAACAGCAAAACAATGTGCAAGACCAAAAACCGCGATCAGTGGCACAAGCCTGGTGATTCTAGTAACTAAAAAGCTACTTTGAAATGGCCATGGAAAAAAGGAAAAGCAAATAGAGGACATCTATAATGCCAATACGCACCCAATGAGCATGGCAAACTCATAAACCACTTTCTTAAACATCTACTATACAAAGCAAAACCAGGATTAGGCTTACTATTTCAACAACTAAAAAACTAACAACAACAGCTAAGAGCAAAAAGAAAACCAAATTAAAAATCAAAATTTAAACTGATCAAATATGTTTCCGACTGCCATAAATCAAAGACCCAAAGCCCAAAGCCGGACGTGTCAGGAGATACTAACAACAATCAGGACATCTTGCTCGCACCGGGTCTGCTATTTTTCAGCTTCGTCTTTCGTCCCAAATACCTGCAGCTCACTTCAATTTCTTCTTCGCGCGAGCTCCGCCTCTCTCATTCTTTATCTGCTTCTGTAACCCTAGGACACTCCGTTCGGCCTCGTTCATCATTCAACTGGAAACCAGTAACTGCGTTTAAGTGACGCCGTTGAGGAGGGTATTTGGGCTAGGCCCAGGAGTTCTTATTATGGGCCTATTTAAGTTGAGAGGTCCGTAAGACCCAAATTCGACAAATGTAACGATTAGGGTCTTCTGGGCCAAAATTTTTAGGGCTCAATTCTGAAATCTAATCTGTATGTAAATAATTAAAAGTACAGGGCTAGTTTTGTAATTTAGTTTCCACATATAAATAAACTCTGACGTACAGTAATTAATCAAGAATTAATCTTCACCAAATTCCCGAGCTCGAGTTTTTCCTTTGCTTGAGAGATTCTCTTGAGCGATCTCATTTGCGCACAATCTTTTACAAAATTTCTTGTTGATTTGATCATTTTTCTTGCTTTAGATTCTTTACAGAGTCTAATAGGTTTTTCCATAGGCATATCTGTATCTCTACAGATGAATCGTAATAGAACTGTAGAAAGAAGAAGAAGACGACAGCAGGAAAAAAGGAAAAAAAAAAGCCTTTTCCTTTCTGTTCGCTTAATAGATGAAACCAAATCGAAAACTTCCACTTGAAGAAGAAAACGAAGAAGAAGAACCTACTTCAACTGTCTCTTCTTCTTTTTTTTTTTCCCGTCTTTCTGTGTTGAACTGAATCCCAGAAAGAAGAAACGAGAGAATCCCAGAAAAGAAATAAGTAGAGAAAGAAGTAGTAGCCATGGATCCGTATGATCCAACGAGTATACTGTTCGCGAAAATTAAGAGTTTAGACCCCGAAAACGTTTCGAAAATCACAGGGTATTTGCTGATGCATGACCCGGATAAGAGAGATTTGATGCGTCTGGCGTTTGGTTCGGAAACACTTCAGCAGTCGTTGGTTTTCAAGGCGAAGTTCTGACTTTTTTGAATATCAAGACCCAGTATAAGTGTTGGGAACCCATTGACACAGTATTCTCCATGGATTGTAGATAATGGGTTTGTGGACGTGTCAAGCTCTTGGTCAGTTAACAGTCCAAAGTCGAGTCTTTTTCTTTCTTACGATAATATTCGTGCTATCTGACTTTCAAGGCGAAGTCTGACTTTTTCGAATATCAAGACCCAGTATCAGTGCTGGAAACCCATTGGCACAGTCTTCTCCATGGATTGTAGGTAATGGGTTTTTGGACTCGTCAAGTTCTTGGACAGTTAACAGTCCAAAGTCGAGTCCTTTTCTTTCTTACGATATTATTCGTGCTGGTGGATCAGTATTTGGTCCGCCGAAAACCGCCGGGTCAGTTGACGATGGTGATTTTCTCGACGAGCATAGGATGAACGATTATCTTTCGTTTCTTAACGACTCGTCCTCAAAGACCGAGGAAGTTGTGGATCCAAAAGTTCTCGTTTTGGTAACTCATTGAACAACAAGGACGCTTATTTACACAGGAGAAGTTTCTCTGCAAACGATGCATGTTTTGGTTCGGAGGAAGTAGGGTTCGATATGGGCTATAAGCATTGCCTGTATTACAACAGAGGGTTCTGCAAAAATGGGGATAACTGCAAATTCTTGCATGGCAATATAGTGTTAATGTACACTCTTCAATTTCTTCTCTGCGCAAGCGCTGCTTCTCCGTTAGGCTTTTTGTCCGTCATTTACACTAGAAACCAACAACTGCTTTTCAACGACGCCGTTTAGAGGGTGTTCGGGCTAGGCCAATGATTTCTCATTGTGGGCCTATGTAAGTGAGGGTTCCATCAGGTCATTATGGGCCAAAATTTTAGGGCTCAATTCTCAAACACCAAGAGAAGGTGATTGGTTGGGGGTTTGAACAAAAAGTCAAATGGATCTTTGATACCCTTCTTCTAAGCTGTACACACGCAACGGAAATCACACCGTTGATCCTACTACCGTCACGATCTTACTAATCGGACGGACAGGAGTCCGCAACAGTACCAACATTGATGATGATTAGCAACATAATGGAAATTGGATACATCATCAGCCAGATTGGAGGGGTAGATGTTGAAATCTGATCTTTAAAAAGCTTACATCACAGATCATACACGCACACAAGAGTACTGCAGGGAAAGAGAAATGTTTGTCAGCACAGCAGGTGCACCAGAGAACGTGCACTTTTTTATTTATTTATTTATTTTTGAATTATTTAAAATAAAATATACAGAATCAGCAGTGCATATTTTTAATTCTGACAGTCAAAGTGTAATTATTTTGTTAATTATTTATTAGGCCCATCATTCTTTTTTGCGGTGGTATCTATTTTAGATATATGTTTTTTTTTTTAATTAAAAAAATTACTTTTTTTCGGGACCCAGAATAATTAATAATGAGAAAAATATTGTCAGCTTTTTGTGCAAACTTTTAAGTTTTTAATTAATAAAAATATCAAATTAATTTTTTAATCCATTCTAATTAATAAAATTTAATCGTAATTAAATATTTTTTTTATACATAAAATATTAATCCAAATTGATTATCAAAATTTTAGTAGTGCACTAGCAAAATTAATCAATAATTTTTTAACTTAAATTTCGTTATTAGTCTGTAATATATTTATAAAATAGTAAATTTAATTTATTTTAATTAATAAAATTTATTAATATTTAATCCAAATTGATCACCAAAATTTTATTATTACATTAATAAATTTAATTAGTAATTTTTTAATTTAAATATTAAAAATTAATTATTATTAATTTATAATATAATTTTATATTATAACGAAATTTAAACTCGTAATCTTTATACCCGTATGTCTAAGTAATTAAAGTACCATATTGCTGGTTATATATTTTATAATTTGTATCTTTATGTTTATATAGGTATAACTAGGTTTGCACTTTAATGTTGAATGATAATTTAATAACTTAAATAATATTTTATCGTATTTATTTATGGTCACAATATTCAAATTATATAATCTATTTATTTTTATAAATTTATTAAATTTTATAATATATATATATGTGTGTAAATAAATTGCATAAACAATAATAATAATTAATGCTTAAATTCAAAATTAGTTCCATGTTAAATTAAGCAATGTATTTTGTGATTTATTTCTTAATAAGAGGAGATACAAAATCTATAATTTTATAATTAAATATATAATAAATTATAGTTGACTTTTATATATTAATTAACTATGAGACAAGTATTGAAATTAAAAAAAAACATTAATATATAAATACAACTACACCTTAATTAATTGAATATTAATTTATTAGTAATATTATACTCACATAGAAAATCAAACATAAATTTTGTTATGATTATATCATGAATTTTTTTTTTTTTATGAACTTTGATGTAAATAATATATTATAAATAAAATAATATATATATATATAAAGGGTACCATTTAAAATAAAAATTTCACATACTAAATATATTTGCATAATTATTGTGATTGGTTATTTCCCAAAATAACTAAAAATATATGTTTTGCTTATTATTTATACAACCCATTATATATATATATATACACACACACACATACGTATATATCAAACATAAGTTGTATTGCATGCCCAAAAATAGGGAATCATTTCTAATTAAAAAAAAAAAAAACAGTGATATCATTACACAAACTTATGTATGTACGTAAATATAAAAATGGTACGATATAAAATAAATGATTTGCCAATAATTGTAACACGAATTAGGCAACCTAGTTGTAAGCAAATATTACAAATTATTACCATAAATTAAAATCAAATCATTATATTGTTTACCTAAGTTTCTATTTAATATAATTAAGGGCAAATACTTATATATATATATATTAAAAATTTTAAACTCTAAACTTTACTTACAAGTCAAAAAATCAATTTATTTTAATTAATAAATTTTGTTGTTTTATAATTAATAAATCATTATGAAAAACTATATAATTTTTGTTCACTATGATATAATGGAATAATTAAATTGGCAGACAAAAAAACATATTGGACAAGCCAATTATTATATTTCCCATTTTAGCATTAAATGAAAATTTAAACCATGTATTAATTAAATTTGAAAGATTCACACCTACATTATTTTTTGTATACATAAATATACCAAATATTATATTTCTATAAACGACTATTTAATAAAATTATATTGCTAAGTTTGTATTTAAAAAACTAAGTAAGAACTAATTAAAGCAGGAGTCAAATGGACATCATTTTCTTCTTCTTCTTCTTCTTCGTCTTCTTATTCCTTTTTTGAAATTAAACAGATATTACTGAACGAATTATATATACGTGTGTGTGTGTGTGTGTGTGTGTGTGTGTGTGTGTGTGTGTGTTATATGATGGCATTTTCTTGGGTGTTGCCATAGGTCCGTCTGTATCTCTAATAAAACTGTAGAAAGAAGAAGAAGACGAAAGCAGGAAAAAAGGAAAAAGAAAAACAAAAGCAAAAACTAAGAAACAAAGAGGGCAAGTTCAACTTCACCCTCGCAAGCCCGCTCTGGTTTCACTTCGAACCCTATCCAAGAATTTCGTCTTATTTTTCTTTCTGTTCGCTTAATAGATAAAACCAAATAAAAAACTTCCATTAGAAGAAGAAGAAGAAGAAGAACTTACTTCAGCTTTCTTTTCCTTGTAGCTCGTCTCTCTGACTTGAACTGAAACCCAGAAAGAAAAAACAGGAGAATCCCAGAAAAGAAAGAAGTAGAGAAAGAAGTAGTAGCCATGGATCCATATGATCCAACGAGTGTACTATTCACGAAAATTAAGAGTTTAGACCCCGAAAACGTTTCGAAAATCATGGGGTATTTGCTGATACATGACCCGGATAAGAGAGATTTGATGCGTCTGGCGTTTGGTCCGGAGACACTTCTACAGTCGTTTGTTTTCAAGGCGAAGACTGACTTGGGACTTCTTTCGAGCACCTTAGCTTCAACGGTTACGCCACCTTCTCCATCTCCGTTAAACCCCATATCAAGACCCAGTACCAGTAGCAGTACCAGTGCTGGAAACCCATTGACACACACTTCTCCGGGGGTTATAGGTGATGGGTTTTTGGACTCGTCAAGCTCCTGGTCAGTTAACAGTCCAAAGTCGAGTCCTTTTCTTTCTTACGATAATATTCGTGCTGGTGGGTCAGTATTGGGTCCGCCGAAGACCGGCGGGTCTGCTGACGATACCGGCGGCGCTGGTGATTGTCTCGACGAGCATAGGATGAACGATTATCTTTCGTTTCTTAACGACTCGTCCTCAAAGACTGAGGAAGTTGTGGATCCAAGTTCTCATTTTGGTTACTCATTGAACAACGGAGACGCTCAGCTGCACAGGAGGAGTTTCTCTGCGAGTGATGCGTGTTCCGGTTCGGAGGAAGGAGGGTTTGATATGGGCTATAAGCATTGCCTGTATTACAGCAGAGGGTTCTGCAAAAATGGGGATAACTGCAAGTTCTTGCATGGTGGTTTTGGGGATAATGTGGATGTGAATGAGGGTTTATTGTGTTCGCCGGGTAAATTGGAGTATCTGTATCAGCAGTCGCATGAGGATATAATGAGACTTAGGGCCTCTCAGCAGCAAAGATTGGCTGCAGCCCAGTTCATGGCCGGAGTCTCACAGTTTCCATTTGGAAAGGGCTTGAATTTCCTCTTGCATCCACAAAATGACCATAGGTGATTCATTTTGCTTTCTTGGTTCTCGAATGGCAATATAATGTTAATGTAGGACAATGCAATTTACTAAACTATCATCTAACTTGTTTTTCTTTATTAGGGTTTTAGTCAAACTAACCACAAGGTTATATTCTGAGGAGAGCACCCAGTTGAACTTTTGCTCATTGTTGCTGCTGCAAGCTTATTATTACCATGATGAATATGAACTTGTTTAATTTGAACTTATTTTAAGGGTCATATATTAATTCTTCGTGTTATTTGGTTGTATTGATGAATTGCAGGGTCCCAGCATTGATGATGTGTGAAGAGGGTTACCGGCATGGTGCAGGTCGGTTCGCTAGGAATGATGTTTTGGGAATGGTATTGGCAGATAGGTCTAACTCTGCTTCCAGACAGATCTACTTGACATTTCCGGCTGAAAGCACTTTCAAAGATGAAGATGTTTCGAATTACTTCAGGTAACTTATGTAATAGTATCTCTATAGACCCATGAATTTTATGTAAACAGCTTATGGCTTATTAAATGTTTATGGTTTGTTGTATGCTTGTGGATTTCAGTTGATTACTCCTAGCACCAAATGATTATCTTTCTACATACTAATTTTTATCCAAATACCATTTTAGTGAATTGAGTACCATCTTCTATAATAAAATAAACACTTTTCTTAAGCAGTTATCATAAAGGAACATGCTTTTTTACAGAACCTGATTATGGTAGTCTTTTAGGAAATGTCACTTGGATAAGATCGTGGTATGCCAGCAAGTCCACAACCGTTCTAAGAAGGAACACTTGCATGGATTCCGCAACACGTGGAATTGGCTTACATATCGGAAACTTGAGTTCTTGGTTATTATATTTATTTTAGGAGGGTTAATCTTAAGAGAAGCTAACAAAGACTTTGGTTTTTCATATAACAACCTCTGAAATATTTGGAAAATCTAACAGCTATATTTAAATACACCCTGTTGTATTGATGGAGCCATCCCTTTTTGAACATGTCCTTTTATGTAAAGAAGCCATATGTAGTCCATGCATGGTAATTTTTTGAGTTACAAGGTAGTCCTTGATGGGTGATAGCTACATATAAATGCATATCGAAGTGCTGAAATGGTAATTGATTGAAGGCCATTGATAAGACATTAGTTTCGGGTTGAAGTTGCAACGTTGTCCTAGAATACATATATTGTTATGGAGTTGGGATTGAATAAAAAAAGTTGTAGAAGTATTTCTCCATGTTTAGGATTTTCCCTTTTGATGCAAGGAATAAAAACAATGATAGCTGTCTTCTTCGGTAATTACAACCGCTTGAAGTTTCCTTATGAGGTTATTCATCTCTTTTAAAAAATTATGTCGTTTTGTTTTTTTCCTGTTACTAGGGATTTTTATTTTCCTAAAGTGAGGGCTTTAACAGCATAATTTTGTTTTATATTTTTAAAGCATTTTTGGACCAGTGCAAGATGTGAGGATTCCCTATCAGCAAAAGAGAATGTTTGGGTTTGTCACATTTCATCACCCGGAGACTGTAAAGCACATATTGGCTAGAGGAAACCCTCACTTTATATGCGATTCACGTGTTCTTGTCAAGCCCTACAAGGAAAAGGGAAAAGTCCCAGACAAGTATGGAATTTTCTAACTTTAATATCTCATTTATTTTTACGTTGTCTTCCCTTAATGTCTAATTTTTAGTGGAAAACTTCAGGAGGCAGCAGCATTTACAACAACAGCAGATGGAAAGGGGAAATTTTTCACCTTCTAGCCCTTTGGGGATTGATGCTCGAGAGCCTTATGAATTTCATCTTGGTAAGTGAATGCATCTTTCTCTGGAATTTTGCTCTGCGAATGCATTTCAGAAGGATATGGGAAGAAACAGAAAACTAGTTTGCTTTGTCCGATCATTATTTATTTTCATTTTTTTTTTACCTTAGAAGATATTGTTTCTTCTCTTATCAGGGGCAAAGATAGCATGCAACAACACACCGGAGATGTTGTTGAGAAGAAAATTAGAGGAGCAGGCTGATCTTCAGCAAGCCATTGAACTCCACAGGAGAAGGTTTATGAATCTGCAACTTCCTGAATTGAAACGTGAATATATCCACCATCACCAATGCAGTCACTCTGTTGGTTCTCCTCTTTACCCGTCTGCCACTGCCAACCAAAATGTTCTTCCTTCTGTACGTATCAACCAAGAAGGCTTAGAAGAAGGTTAGCTGATAAGCAGTAGAGTAGTGCATATTCCTCTAAATATATGCTTTAGTTAACTTGCAAGATCCTTTCTGGCAGCCTGCAGTGATAGCTCAGCTGCAACCGATCCCACAATAACTGTTACTGCCAAAGAGCAGATTCAGGCAGAAGAAAATTCAGGTCGAGTTAATGATAACGATTGTGGCAATAGCCAAGAGGGAAGCTTTGTCCATGAAAAGTATGATTGACCTGAACTTTATGGAACATAAAATTTCTAAAAATTGCCTTCTCATATAATTCCATAACTTGAGGTTTATTCAACAGTTACTATGATGGGGTTTTACAGTTCTTATTTGTTTTTTCAGTCTACTTGCTTCTCAAATTTGAATTTTTTTTGCCTTTCTTAGAAATGAAGGGGGCAGTTTAGAGCATGTTCTCCCTGATAACCTCTTCCCTCCCATGCAATCCATCAAAAATCACCACACTGCTTTGGTCGAAGTGAAGGAGAACACTACAACTTCTTCTACATCTTCCTCATCCGGAAAGCCCATAACTTCCGATGAAAGGGTTTCTCCGTAGGTTTTTCTTTTCTCCTAAATGCCAAGGTGGTGTATTCTAGCTTCTGCCCCTTGATTTTTTTATTAATTTCTCTATATTATATAAATTGTTAATTGTTGTTTTCTCAGGTTTTAATCATGGGCATGAAGTTATCAAAATGTAGTTAATAAAAGGTAAGCATGTTAAGTAATTGCCAATCATAAATTGTTAATGTTAAGGCATATAATATATATATACACACACACACTATTTGGATGCAGAAAGTAGAGAAGCAAACACAGGGAAGAAGAATGGAGTAGATGTATAGGCAGATTATAGAAGCAGCTTGGAGTGAAGAGTAGATCCAGATGATTTTGATGAATACAAAATACCGCTAACAGCGAAAAATGCATATGGAAATACTTAGAAGATAAGTAATTTTTCTGATTAGGGTTTTTTTCCTTCTGTTTTCTGCTTTTTACCCCTCCTCCCAGCTAGGGCTTTTTTCTATTTTCTACTGTTTATCCCTCCTCCCAACTAGGGCTTTGTCATCTCATCTATAAATATAAACGTTGCTGGATCCTCCTAAACATTCTTCCTTTCCTACCCAACATACCAGTTAGCTTTTGTTTACTTACATATATATATATATATGTATATATATTATGCTTGAAAATAAAAATGCATTGGGAATTTAGACATAAATCTATGGAAATAATAAATTTAATAATAATTATTATTTTATTTTATTTAAATTGTAAAGATTTTAATAATAGAAATTAAAAAATAAAATTTGTTGAAAATAAATGTAAAAATTATAATTTACTTTATTTATTAGTTTAAATTTAAATAAAATTTATTTTTAATTAGATTTAAAATATATTTATTTTTTAAAATTATATTATTAGTGTGAATCTATTTTTTAAAAAATTTGATTTATATTTATTTTCTATATAATGGTAGATTATTTTTAAGAAATTTGAATTTAACGTAATTTTATTTAAAAATACTTTAAGTTGTTAATTTGGGAGTGAGTGAAGTTAATAAAAATTTAAATTTTCTTAACTTAAAAAAAAAATTCTAACAAGAACAAAATTTTAGTATAAAGTTGTAGAGATTCAAAACTTAAAAGAAAATATAGTCATAAATTAAATGTGAAAATAAAATAATAGAATTTAAAGTTTTTATTTTTTACATAACAATTTAGAATGCCCAATATATTTATAAGAATATCTATTTTAAAAGAATAAACGAAAATCAAATAAATACACAAAAGACAAATAATTGAACATTTTAGGACGATCTTTACTAACTTTTGAAGGGAGTCCGGTAGTGAACTATTCACAATTCTCTTATTGATCGAAATATGGATCTTAGTCCTTTTGATCTGAAATAGTTAATGAAAGGATGAGCTACACTAACTTAATAAGAATATCACACTACTTACCGATATAGAAACTAAAGGTTGGTAAAAATCATAAAAATAACCAATGGAGTTCTTAATTTAAGTAAATTCGTTTATCATAAAGAAAACCATTTATTATATATATTTACTGT